TGATCCTAATGCAAAATTTGTGGCTAGTCATTGATGGTTCAATAGGTTAAGGCTCGTGCCAATTTTTATAACATATAAGTGAGTGGTGAGGCTGCTAGTGCTGATAGGAAAGCAGGAGTGTATCTTGAAGTGTTAAGAACAATTATAGAAGAAGGTGGTTATACGATACAGAAGAATTTAACGTCAATGAAACTGGTTTGTTCTGGAAGAAAATGCCAGACAGAACATACATTTCGAAAGAGGAAAAGGCAGTACCAGATGCATTTAAAGGCCTTAGCAAGTTACTCTTCCAATTCATTTCCATTCAGATCCAAAGGCTTGGATTACAGTAGCACTTTTCAAAGACTGATTCGTGAATTGTTCTATTCCTGAAGTGTAAATATTTTTCAAAGGAAATGACATCCCGTTCAAGATTTTGCAAATCGTCTATAATGAACCTGACCATTCCTCACATTCAGATGACTTCAACTCTGACATAAAGTCATGTTTCTGCCATGAAACACGACTTTGATCCTCTAAATTATGGATCAGTGGGTGATCACAAATTTTAAAGCTTATTGATGGAGTTACGGTTAAAATTTTGAACATTTCCATAGTCAGTTGTTTCAGGGCCTTGACCTGTCTTTGTCATCAGGTAAAATAAGAGGGACAAGGGCTTTGTACTTTGTGAGGTCCCTTAGAAGGAGTTAGTAGTTTCCATCACTGGGTCCAGAGAAACAACAGATGGATAATGTCCAAGATTTTAACCAAAACTATTGCAACACACCGTTGCTAATGACTTTTTAATTGCTTTAAAGCTTATTATCTTTGAAGAGCATTTGCCAAAGGCAATAGACAGAGACAAGGCAACACTTTACAAAAATTTTGGAAATAATACAATCTTTACCAAACCATCCTAAACATCGGTAAGGCCTTTGAAGTATTTATTGAATCCCATCGAGGTGAATTATCAAATGAGGATCTGAAGGAATTAGAAGCAGCGAAAGTAGCAGAGCAGATTGAAACCTAGGCCATGACACTTCAACACCAAGGAGATGACAATTGTATTCTGTGAGATTACATCAGCAGTGGCACGATTTGAGAAGCTGGATCCCAATTACTCACAGTTCTTGAAAATAAACAGGAGGATTAACAGTATGTTGACATGTCATACCGAGATACATGAAGAGAAAAAATGTTCACTGCCAGTCGTCTCTTGAATGTCTGAGAGGCCTGCTCCTTCCACATCTACAAATTAAGCCCAAAATACTGTCTTCAATGCGCCAGAATAATACTAGGATTGAAATGTAAGTGAAATTGTGTTATTGTAAGTGTTAGTTTTCTATACTTCCAATGAATTTTTGGGTTACACATGACCTCCCGGAATGGAAAGAATGCGAAAGTCGGGGAGCATCTGCACATCATCTTCAAATGGAAATACAAAGTTGGAAAGTACTTACAGATCACTGTCAGTTACAGGCTCTCTTTCTTTGTTTCTGTTATGGTTATGTGAATGTTATGATACCATAGAAAGACATTACTCTTTTTAATCCATTTGGTTATAATTGTGTTCATGTCCAGGAACATGAAGTTGGTAAAGACATCAAACTCCAAAGTTTTAATAGCTAGTAGTACCAAGCTAAGCTGAAATTTGCTTTTTTACAGACATGCCTCAGTTAAATTTGCTTTTGAAATGTTTTTGTACCAAAAATTGTATTATATAGTGTATTCCATTAATATTAATTTAGTAATTTAATATCTTACATTATTTTTAAATATGTGTACATATAAATCTGTATAACTATTCAAGGAGTTTGTGAGATTCTCTAGGTATATTGTGCATTACAGGTTATGTTAGAAATTCTACATAATTCTCATTTAGTCTCCCATATAGCAAAACAGAGGCACAACATGACTATGAGATCAGTAATTGTATATTTGTACATTCTGAATCTACCAGTTTAGATTCATTACTTGAAGCAGTTAAGTTTACATTGTTTTGTATGTTATTAAGAGTCTGTATCTTTGAATGATGAGTGTGCAGTACTGTTATGGAATGACATGTTTTAAAACTTCATTCTTTGTTGTGTTTTTACATATTTTGTGTACTTACACCTGTGTCTTGTCAGAACTTTTCTCGGAGCATAATAGAATTTTAACCAGGAGAGGCCTTACTGCCTCAATATAGTAAAGGCCTTTCATTCAGTTCTTCATAAGATCTAGGTGGATATTTTCTGAAGTCCCCACTCTGAAAATTTGGAAATAAGGAGAATGACTATCCTCCACCAGTGAATGTATCAGCTTGTAAGGACACTACCTATCTCTGACCAGGGAATGCAAGTCCATCATCAAGGAATGTGGAAAGTGCAAATCCCTCATAAAGGAGTATGAAAAAGTCTCAGCCATGTGTTCAGAGGTGGGTCCTCCACATCAGCCATCATCACAATCATCCTATCATTGAAATTAGTGAAGTTTGCTTCATGGTTGGTGGCATTCACAACAAACATTTTAACCACTGGACATTTGATGTCAGTGGTATACATCTAAACTGCTTACTGGGCATAGTAGTTGGGTCTGATCAAAATGTTTGTTTCGGCCATTTTGAATTTCCCATCCATTTCTGAACTTTTTTAAAATTTTATTTAAAGTAACAATTCTTTGTGGGTGAAACAGATGTACACAGCTTAGAACAGGCCATACATCATAACTTGGAGTTCTGATACAAATGATAAAGAAAATAAGCAGACACATGTCTTCTGAATTATAAATACAATTTTATTACAGTATTACAGAAACTAATTGTACTTGGAATGTTACAACACATGTTTCTTACAATATTTACATATGATTGCCTATATCCAAAAAGAATGTAAAATGTAACTGTACTGTTTCAGTAAACACATCCATTTTACTGCACTGTGTACAGAATTTACTGCTCTGTTGCGGTCAAATCAAGCTTGTCACTGGCTTTGCCTCGAACATGTTGTTTAATGTGGGCAGCTGAAGAGAAATAATCCAAAATATGCTCATTTTTCCAGTCTGACTGCCACTTCCAGCAAAATTAAAAGAGTATTACAAATTTGTTTCAGAGTTTTTTAATGATTCAGACACAGTAAAACGTGTGGTCCAAAGGTTTTTGGAATGGTATAGCCTACCTTAGACACCAGACTATTTATTAATATCACTTCTGTAACAAATAAATCTGCTTATAACATTGTTGCACAGGTTATTTTTTTTTATTTGAATAAAATTGTACTTGTGGTCATTCTGGTTATCAGAATTATTTATCATGAACAGCTGAGTAAATTATTAAATCTCTTTCCTTATCCAAGTAATTACAGAATAGACATTAACGTTGTACGTTAAGTATAGAAATATTCTGTTGTGCATGAATGCGTACAAAATAGAATGCCTTTAAACATCTTGTGAAACAGTTCTTCCTGCATGTATACCATGTTTACTAAATTTTTATCTTCTGCACTGTGTTCCTTGGTGCTGAAGTTTCCTGTCTTTCTTCTCCTTGCATATTTTGCATGTTTGCTTGTTCCTATTTTGTACGTTGAATTACGATACTAATCTGTGATTCATCTTTTAATATATTTTACCACACACATTTTGTACAAAAAGGAAATCGGAATAATATGGGGAAATTTATGTTACAGGTGTACATGTGCTTGTTACTAGATACACATTTTATTTTATCAGTTACATTGCAAAACCAGTTCTTTGTTAGTTTTTATAAATGTCAATATAATTATTTTCACCAAATAGATTAGTTTTTCTTATATACAAATAAAACAAAGAAAAATTGTTTTCCATGAACTCCACTTCCTCTGATTGGAATGAAACAATTAAAATTGCACATTGTTGCAGTTTTCCATATGTGAACTGACACTCAGCTCGTATCCCATGACATTGTTTTTGAGGATCGGTAGATTAATACAATTTGTTGCCATTATTGGAAAATTATTTTAAGATTTCATGATTATATAAAGAATAAATTGTGTGATGAGGAGCTTTCTTAGATTGCAGTTTTCATCTGGTGATGTTATTATAATTAAGAAAAATGGTTGAATTGGGATATGTTCTACTTGGAAAAAACAGTGCATGTGTCAAAATGTTTATTAAGTTAAAAGGTATTACAAGAGTAAATGTGCCTTGTGCTTGCAGACAAGCATCTACCCATTTTCCCACAGGCTGTCTTTGTAGATTTCATTGCTCCCTCAGATAAAAATAAGAGGGAATGAGATTGGGCAAACTCAGTTTCCAAATATCCCTTGAAAGTAGTGAATCAGTGCACACCCAGTTTGTCAGTTAGCTGCCACGCTGTGTTACAGTGTGACATGTGAGATTTGGAAAACATTTATGTCAACTTCAGTTTAACATTTTTTACATATTGACTTTTGTAATGAAACATGTTCTGCTAAAAAAGCTTGGGCCCCAAGCAACACCATTTTGACAACACTCGTATGTGTCCAAACATTTCACTGTTCATGGCACACACAAGGTCATTTTGTCGCATGGCACACACAATAATGTTCACCACCTGGGTTATGTGTGTGCACAGGGATTTTTTAATTACCCTTTATGTTTCATGACAACAGTAAAATTATTGAACAGTTTAATAAATGCCTACTGTTTGGGAAGTACTGACTGACTTCATTGTTTGTTGGTAATTACAGTAATAGTAATGCACTTTGCGTACAGAGATACTTTTTAAAAGTAATTTAAGTTTTCTACATTTGTACATTGTTTTTTCTTCTTTTTCATCATATTTTGTTCTTGTTTATAGTAGTTCAGATATTTTGTTTATTCACATTCTTGGGCATTGACTTGTAATTAAAATTTCTTATGCTTAGAATTTTGTTTATGTGTCAAGTATATGTACATGTGCTTTTGTTACCACTTTGTGTTTTATTGTAATGTTAACCTCTTGCTTGTACATTCAAAGAGAGATTCACTAACATTCCCCATGTCATAACAACAGTCGTCATTGTTTCTTGTTTTATTTTGTGTTGCAGCCTTATCTGGTCTAACGAACACCACTGCAGGTATGTGTATGTGTCTTTCAGTTCTTCACAACTAATAAACTATTATATTTGTTTGTTGTAAAAGACAAGATACAGAATTATTGCCTTCTCCATTTGACTTTGTTAACCTAGCCCAAAAGTTAAGGTTGCAAACTATTTGGAAAAGCTACAGATGCACATGTATTGATGTGTATATGCAGTTAAGTTGACTTGTCCAAAAATTATAACCTGTGTAATACACTGACAGCTTTTCTTTATGAAGACAGTGCAGTGCAGCGCAGCTGTGTTTATCATGTCCATGTGTTAAATAAATTTATGAAACAGGTAATTTGTAGCAATTACCTGTTTCATACATTTGTTCAAGAATTGTAGAAGAAAACTTATTTTTCTATAAAGAACACTGATTTAGCACGTAACATGACAGTGACATGGTTGATGTAGATTATTACCTTATGTTTGTATTTTTAAATTTCATCAAAGCATAGAACAATGCGTAACTTTTTTCAACCATTTTAATAACTTTTAACATGCCAGCAGTTTTTTGTATCATTCATTGGTCTCTTGTTATTTGCAACAAACAATAATTCCATGATAAAATCCGAGCAGTTAAAACGTAGTTGAAAAGGCTTGGTGAAATCTGATATTTCATTTCAGCTGTATATATACTTAGATTGTGTTTCTTTCACATTAAAACATGCTGTGTCAATTTTGCCTCCGACATCAGGGCGATGATTGCCCTGATGATGGAGGCAGTATGACCTCTGAAACTTTGTTAAACATCTACCATACTACATGGCGTAACAACTCAGAAGACAGAAATCTTCATACTCACCGCTGTGAAAATCTCAAATCTTACATACTATATTTCCCTGTATGTATATATTTTATTTCCATAAAATGGTTGTATAATCAAATATTTTGAGAAGAATGTTTTATTAATTAGAAAGGAGTGTTAAATCTAATTATCTTGTTACATTTGTAGACTTGAAACTACATCATCTTAAAGTAGTGGTATGTACTGGAAACATTGTAAAATGTACCAGTATGTGTTTTGAACATAAAGAAAATGATGATGGAGTAGCTATCTGAAACTATTTTCATCCTGATATTCAATAATTTTAGCTGTATATGATTTTATACTTCATGATTGTTTGAATTGGAAGACAAGACTAAGTGAAAAATCAGATTACACTGTATCAAGTTGGCACATCACCTTGATAATAGTGCTTTACTATTAAGATGTACTATTGAACAATAATTTACTATTAAATAACGTGAATGAATATAGTACCAATGTAGTTGCCATGTCCAGATATCAGTAAAGGAAAAATGTCATTCAAACTTTTTTTGTGTTTTTCTAGTTTTAAATATTTTCACTAGGTTTGTGTTAATTCACTGATACAAAGTAAATATATGGTTAGGTATTAAATAATTTATAAAAATGGTTTGAATGACATTCATTTTTATACTTCCCCATTTGGCAGCTAGCTGTCGATGGAAGCCAACAGATTAAGGAAAAATGGTGAATGTTTTTGAAAATTTCTGAATGTTTTAACTGAATGAGTTTGCATAGCTCAGTTTGAAGGGACTGGTTCACTGAACCATTCAGCTTAAATGCCACTTCATCAGTCTAAATAATCATGCCCAGAAACTGTGAATCCTCATCTTTAGTCATTGCATGCAATAACCTTGGCAGATACCATTTCCACTTCGCTATTTTTAGAACCCAGTCTACGCTTGGTTTGGAAATCCTGATCTCACTAGCACATGCCTTAAAGATTTCTTTGGTGATCATGTGAGCTGCTGTAACACTATAGCAGAAGTTTCCTTCCTCATTGATGTGTACAGTCTGCCAGATAACTGCTTATACATGTTCATCATAGTACTGCATGTCTCAAATTTATCTCATTCTTGTAATTGTTAGTTGTGTTGCAGGTGGTGTTTCAAATTCACATGTCCACATTCTTGATTTCTAAGTACCACTTCAAAATTAATTTGTGTTGCTTGAAATTCAGTTGACCCTCTACCATTTTGCATTGAAGTGAAGAAGCATGAGATGTATGGGGAATTGGGAATATTAAATATGGAAGTACTTTATAACTTATGCAGTTTGCCTATTATTGTTAGATTAATAAAATTACGATAGATGAGATGAAGTAAACTCATGACTCAGATTGCAGAAAACTTGTAATATTATGTTATGTGGATGGCAGGCTTTAATAATTGTAATCTGCATCCTTCAGGTCCTTTTAGCACAGGGATGGTCAGTCAGTTACAAGCTTTAAATTGTAAATAAGAACTTGAAAAATAGCAAGGTTAATAGAAATTCTTGTTCATTGAGTATGCCTTGAATTTATTTGATAGTAATTTAATATACAGAGTGATTGGAAGTTCACACAACCAATATTAAAATATTTATTGGTGGCTGCAATTCAGTACAGTTTGATTGGATTAGTAAATACATAATATCACCCCATACAAGTCGCACCTTGTTGTATTCTTCTTCTGCCAGTCTGTCAATTGTTTTTCAGTAGTCACAGTGCAAGTGCAGCACGTGTTCATTAATGAACACTACCTGGCATTTTGATCTTACTTAACTTGACAAAATATCCTTGGGGATATATTTCTTGATTCTCCTATGGCAAACAAGAAACTGGCGTAGCTCAGTCAGCATAGTGACTGGCTATGGACTGGATGACTGAGGTTCGATCCCTGATGGGTTCAGAAGATTTCCACTCTAGCCTCTGCGTCCAGACTGGTTCTGGTGCCCACCCAGCCTCCTATCCAATGGGTACCAGGGTCCTTACCGGGGTAAAGCGAGGCCGGGGCGTGATGCTGACCACTCACCTCCATCTAGTACCTAGGTCAAGAATGAGTAGGAGTTATACCTCCTCTCCCCCGAAGCACCTTCATGGCTCATAGTGGGACAGCTTTACTTTACTGTACTTTGGCAAACAAATTTACAATATCTTGTCTGGTGAACCATTTCAGTGACACAGGAATTCTTCACTGGGTTTCATCAAACATGAAGTAAAAAGTGAATATATACATCACTGATTGTAGTGGACATTTCCAACACTTGATATAGCATTGTTTTTTGTTCTCTAATTTTATTGTAATTTTTTGGTTTTGATCTGTGCTTTGTAATCTTCTTTAAGTGGCACATTGTGTGGGTTTTGAATCCCAGTTAAACCACTGATGTCACTAAATGGGTATACACCCATTTTGCTGTGGAATATTACCAGGTGAAAGTTGGAGTTCAGGGTTACCAAATTCTTAGACTGACCATTATCTGATATTCAGAAGAATACAGCGTTTCAGAAACTGAATGTTACAATCCTCAGGTAAAAAGGGAAGGGGCTGTTAGAAAGAGCTGACGTCAGCCACAGTCCAGTTTCTGAAACACTGTGTTCTTTAGTAATCCCAAGTTTAACACACCATTGTCATACCATTTTAAATTGAAAGTGGGAGTTTAATTATTTGGAACATATGTTATGTACGTGTATGCAAATTTTGTGATAGTGTGATCTATATTTTTGGACATGCACGAATTAATTTTGTAGACCAAGCAGGTAATATAAGTTAGGGTGCTGATAGGTTAAATGGCTAGAATGGCAGTATTGCATGTTGTCACCTTATGCTGCACCCATTAACCAGGCAGAAGGTGCTGAGGTGAGGCTGTACTCTAAAATTAAATTGATCTGTTGGCATCCATCTGTATGAAAGAGTCCTGAATAGTACTGTGTTATTAAACATTTTTCTGTTTTAAAGTTCTTGAAATTAATTACTAGCAATTTCTTTGACTAGGCATGGCACATTAACAAGCACAAGCTATAATTAAGGTTTGTTTGACGTAGGGCTACTAATTAAAAATCCTTTGTGTATATAATGCTACAGGACCTACATATTTTTACTTCAACTCTCATAGACTTACCTATCTCCAGAGCAGTTTATTGATACACGTTTTGCATTATTGATGTATGACTTATCAAGCTTTCACACAGATGTGTATAAAGTATGGATCAACCTACATGTCATTAAATATTATTACTGTTGGCTCTATCTCTGCCATGAATTATGCCACTGCTTATGTTTGAGGCTTTTGTAGCTGTATAATTGGAACTATGGTGCTGTTCTCCTTGCTCTCATTTATATACTGTAGAGTTTGAAATACTATAGAAAACAAAATATCTCAGAAGTATCACTTTAACGGCAACTCAAACTGCTCTGTCAGTGAGGTGTTTGTCACACGGTTACAAAAGCATCAGACTTAATTTTGGTGATGTAGTCCATGGTAGAGCAGGGTATTTTAAACCCTTCTAGGTAGTTAATATTGAGAGATTATTTTATTGTGAAAGGTGACAGGAATGAAAATCATATAGACTTTAATTATTGTAACAGAATAAGTGTTCTGTCTGATTTTATAATTTGGATATCTTATGAGTTCTCTTTTCTCAGGGAATCTACCATATAATTCACACAGTGTGAGGGTTTATTTATCATAAATATTTGGGCCCTTGTAGCTCCTGTTTGTTATTTTTTCCTTTGTTGATTTTTTTAAGAAATATTTTTTGAATACAACTTTCCATGATCCAGGTGTTTGATGAAGACAACATTTTTTTCATTAACTTGTGAAAGTGTTTCTTTATCACCTAATATAACTGTGTTCTAATGATAATGTCTGTTTCTCTTTGTTTCTCTCTCCTGCTTGTTGTGTTGGCAATAATTCCAGCTCTTCTTGGGAAGGCTGGTAACACAGGTGAGGGTTAGTTATTGCTGTCTTGAAATTATTTACTGTGCAAAATTGTAAGCTCATTTTTAGTTGTAGAACACTCAAGACTTTTCTTCATGTTGTCTTTTCTTGGTGTGTGTATAACTGGGTAAGTGGAAATGCAGTTCTGAGATTTATTTTTAATTATTATTAAGTGGAGTGAGGCACAACGCCTTGATACTGTGACCTCAAGCAGGCAAGTTGCTTGATCCTGATGATAGTTGCATACTGAGCATTGGTGGACTGATGATTGCAGGGAGTACTGAAAGTACTCAGAGAAGCCTGCGTAAGTTACTTTTCGTGCAACACAAATCTCACATGGACAGACTGCCGTGGGATAGGACTGGGCCTTAGTGGTAAGAAACCACTTGAACTTGGTCATAGTTTTGGTTCCTCTGAATTTAAACAAAAATGTATTTCTGAAAGATGTATCTTGATTTCTTGCCCGTGTCATTTGTACCTTTACTTGGTGGTGAATTTCTTATGAAGGGGCACATTAGTGAGCCCACTGTTCCCTGCCTCATATTATCTTTCACATATGCTCATGTGGGAATATGGAACAACAAATTCACAAATTATATTTGGTTGAGTCCCTCATCCCACATTTTTGTTCCTATAAGATACATTTCTATGGTTATTGAAATAGGTTTTAGAATTTTGAACATACAAGTGTCACATAAATCTACATTGTGCATGAGATTGCTATGATTACAATAAGATGCACAGGCAGTCAGAATTTGGCAACTATTTATTGTAACATAAGGGTTTGAGATAGAAAATTTCCCAGTAATGCTCATGTTGACAAACATTTCTGTAAATAAGAGTCAATCTCAAAGAACTAACAAGGAAACTGCATTTTTACAATGTTCGTTAATGTCATGTTTGATGTGCAAGCTAGTAGTCTTGTTCCCTGCATTGTGAAGGATGTTTGTTGGCATGTATCAGGAAGCATTCATCAATTGAAGCTTTATACAGAGCAGCAAATTGGTGTGGAATTCTAGAAGTTGACTTTATAATGAAGTTGGAATAATTAATGAGATTCATGCACGTTGAAGGTATGTATTATGTTTAAAGTAGCTGTAATTGTTGTGGAAAATGAGGATGCTTAATTTAAGTCTAATGGCATGTAGAATAGTGTATTCAATGTTTCACTGACTATGGAATGGACAAATAGGGCTTTATTCTTGGCTGTGGGACCTGCCCAGCTTCTTAATCAATGGCGCAGAGAATTCTTTTCCCATAAGTAAATGATCAGACTGTGAACCTGACTATTTAACTGCCATCTGGTGCTTAAGGTTTAGAATGCATGTAAATTAGTTTTAACCCTATGATCGCTATCCCCTGGATTTTATACGCTCGTGCAGACCATTGTTCATTCCTCACCTGGAATATCCCTGTCTGTAATATATGCAGTTTTTATAATATTTCTGGTGAGATCTATGCAATCAGTCACTTTGCCTTTCATAACAAGTACTTGGAACTATTTTTACATTTCTTCCAACATGCAGGAGTCAGTGAGCAACAGTGGAGCTAAGCAATACTGGTATGAGTTGGTTGTTAAAGTCCTGACATCAGAACAAAATTAAATGTTTCAAATACTATCTTTGAAATGTAGAGAGTACCAAAAGAATTGGCTACAGCATATATACAGAATGAAGTGACAAAGAAAACCAAAGCAGGCAGACATGGTAATGCAATAGGTTTATCAGCATTTATTATGTTTTCCAAAAAGAATCAGATTCCTGCAGCAATACTGTTGAAAGGTTTGAGCAAACATGATTGGTGATGGACTTTTATCTTTCATTATAACCCAGAAACAAAACACCAAGTTTGAAATGGAAGAGTTAGTGTTCTCAAGACTGAACAAAGTTCAAATGTCAAACACCAAAATTCATGCTGATCTGCTTTAACTGTATCAGTTGAATAGCCCATTACAAATTTGTTCCTACAACAAAACCTTTGACCAAATGTTATTTATTTAGGGAAACTTGTGAAAATAGCTAATCTTTTGCCATAGGACTGTGCAGTTTTCATCACAACCTTGCTGTTCCCCACACAGCACTTCCAGTAAAGAAATGTTTCTTAGAAGCCAATGTCAGTATCATAACATCCACAATACCTGCCTTATTTGGCTCCATATTCCCAAAATGAACTTCAAATTATATAATTTTGAATCCTTAAAGATGTTTAGAGCAATGTGATGACAGTACTGAAATGAATGTTTGAAAATATTTTATGCTCAGTGCTTTATAACAAACTATCGTCTTATGAATTGTATTATTTAATAGACAGACGAATTAATGTTTTTTCCACTGATGACGGCCTCTTGAAGTTGAAATGCATTTGGCACTAAGTGTTTTTCAAAGTGTAAACATTTTTGTTTGTATGCATGATTTTATATGTTTTAGATAAATATTCAACACTGCATGGTATGCAAGGTTTTGGTTATTTAATTGTCAGACTTTGTGCACTTCCTTTGTTAGAGTCACAGAAAAGTATATAGTTCATTTTCATAGTACTTTACCACTGTTATAATGCAGAGTGTAATATGTTTGTAGCCAGGGTTCAGTGCCATTGAGGTTTTATCTGGCTTGTGTCTTTGTCCGTAGAATTTAAGGGGCTAAGCAGTATGATTTGTGTAATTTTTCTGTTATAAATATGAAGATACAATGTGAATTGTATGTGTTTAGGGTCACTGGCAGGCCAGACTTCTGGGAGCAGTTCGTTGAGCCCTGTGACTAGCATGGCTCTGGGTGGGCTGACAGGTGCCCCACTTAATACCATGGCTTCCATCAATGGACTGGGCTCCACAGGTCTCACACATAATGGCACTGGACTTGATGCACTTACATCAGCCTACTCAGGCATCCAGCAGTATCCAGGTATGGTTGTATGGCAGTCATCAAATGAGGTTTTCAACTTGTTACAAAGGAAAGTCTAAAGATAAAACTTATCGGAGCAGTTTTTTGACGTAAATACGTCTATAAGGAAGGGTCATTCGGCAAAAAAGTGGAACGAAAAAAGGAAACGAAAAAGTGTAACAAGTGTACCTAGGGAACGTCGTGTTTACTCGGAATTGTTGTTACCTAGGAACCATCATCTGTTTATTCGGCATTATTGTTATCTACAGACCCATCTTAAGCGTAACGAATTCAAGTTAAGCATTCAAGCATTTTTGTTACCTAGGAAACATCATCTGTTTACTCGGCATTGTTGTTACCTATAAAACATTACATTACATTACTTTACTTGAGTTTGCTTTACATTACATTCAGCTACCACAGACCCATCTTAAGCGTAACTAATTCAAGTTAAATAAGCAATGTCTTAATCAAACTTTACTCAATTGTAAAGCATGTATGAAGGAAGTATTTAGAATAAAGCCAATATATAAACTTCCTTTCCGTATAGACGTATTTACGTCAAGTTCTCCGGAACCGTGGTTCCACTGACAACTTTTTATGTGGAACAAGACAGAACAAGTTTCTTAACATGATCACTGTGTGAGCTACCTGGAACTACTCCAGAGTTCAGACAAGGTGATCAGAGACTTGGTGCAGTGGCAAGGATTGTCGCATGGTAATCGTGAAAATCAGTCGGTATCAGTCTCTCTTCATACCATGTGCTTTCTTTCATAGTTTAATATTATTTAGTTTTTTTAACTTTTGGTTTCAAATGGTTGTTTTGTTTTAATGGTTTGACTGTGTTTTAAAAATGTAGAGCCAGGGTCACAAGTATATGATATAGGATTTGAGACTTTCGTGGCAAGTACAATCAATAAAATCTTCTCAGACAATCAGCCGCATCAACTGGTTACAGTAAGGTACTGTACTACGGTAACCAGTTGACGCGGCTAATTGCCTGAGAAGATTTTATTGACAAGTATATGACTGCACTGAACATATACAGTCTACATTTAAGGTGTTTAATTATTTAATGGGGGGGGGGGGGCAGAGAATAGTGGGCCTGTGTTTGGTGTTACAAAGACAAAAGAATGTAATGCTGACATTTAGCTATACATTACTTGATAATCAAGTTCATGCAGGTCTAGTGTCCCAGCCCTGTAGTGTCATCTCTCTTGGTATGATGAACCCATCACTTGCCTGAATCGTGTGTCACTACAGTCCACTGGGACATGTAAATCTACTTAAATCTACTTTGCCGTGCATCAGATGGTGACAATGCACAGTTCATTGTAAACACTCGTGAAGGATGACATGGCAATATCCATGGTAAATGTGCATTTATTGAATTATGCTAATAAAATTTCATCCATATCTGTATATGACCTACAGTTTTAATCAGTTAACATAACCAGAATATGCTGTAGAACATTAAAATAAAGTGAGAAGTATGGAACAAATTACATGAAAAGTTGTGTAGAATATGTATAGCAGAACCGCAAACAACTACCAATGTGCTGTACATAAAGGAAAAAGGAAAAATCAAGTCAGATCCAGAAATAATGCAGTCCAGTATAAGATCAATACACTTTGTCAGTTAATTTTAAATGTTCCTAACTATTTTACTTAAGAATAAAGGATATAATGCATTTCAGGCTGTGGTTACATGGGTTATGACATTATGTGGTCTTGTAGGTGGTTACCAGTGTTTTGGAGGAACATACTGCATTCATCATTAGCGTACCCTGAAACCCCAAAATTTCAAGGAATCACCTATCCAGAAGACCACAATCTGAACATTTGATATGTTTCTCAACATAGTTTTCCTTACATTGTTACTAAATGTAAATCAGTCAGTAATTTATTAAATTCAGTTCCCTATACAGAAAACTATGTTTGCGTAACACTAGGTTTCTGCAATCCACAACTGTACTATAACTCTCCTGTGGTCCTATTCTCTTACTACATAATATGTATTCCTATAACTATAAATACTTTCCCCTTCACCATTTCCAGTATGTATTACTGATTTTATTTTCCCATTTACATCTTATTTTATACACATTTTCCTGCATTTTTCAATTCTACACAATTTATTATTCTCTTGTAAGCTACCTTTTCTTTAACAGTAAGACATTTTCTTCTCAAAAGCTGTTTCCTTCAATTCTTTGTTTCCAAATAGTATATGTAAACCATCTTCTTCCTCACTACGTAGAGGACATCGTCCTTTCTCAAATCCTTACATTTCAAATGTGTTTTGTGTTATTTTAAAGTAAACTAGAATTATTATCTCAGAAAACCAGGTGATCTAAAAATTAGTCCAGTAATTATTTGACGACCAGAATTAATATGTTCATCACAAAAGCTTGTAGTAATAAACGACCCTAATTTAAATGGTAGCAGAAACATTATTTTCAATTGATGTGCTACATACCTTGCTCTAATTTACTTCAATGCATTCTGCTTGTAAGAAAAACTTTTTTTATTTATATTGTTGAATGGCCATAAATTGATAGTTTCAGTTGTTGATAAGTTGTGGGACATATTTCTATCCATTATCTGAAACACAAAATAAATCTATACCAGCACTTTTAAAGAAGGCTCTGTCACAGAAGGAATTAAGGTGCAGGATCAAGGAGTTGTCTGTTGTACCCCAAAGATTTGTAGAGAGAAGAAATTAGGAAATATTATACACGTGTTAAAGAGAAGAAGCACTATTTCAGGATATCTGATTTGGAAGTAATAGTGTGTAAACTTAGATACTAGGAACTGTTATGTTGAATCTTTTAGGTTTTACATCGTTTGGTGGTGGTGGGGGCCACACAGCAGGAGGTGCGCCAACAGGTTTAACCAACTCCACGTCAGGTTCTGGGGGCCCAGCGGGCAAGCAGATAGAAGGCCCTGAGGGCGCAAACCTGTTTATCTACCACTTGCCTCAGGAGTTCAGTGACAACGATCTGGCATCAACGTTCCTGCCATTTGGCACTGTTGTGTCAGCCAAAGTGTTCATCGATAAACAGACCAACCTGTCCAAGTGCTTCGGTCAGTAGAGCAAACCAGGGGAATGAACAAAATTAGGCTTATGCATCATAATTTGTTTTCATCGCTTACCTAAAATAAAAAAGTAAAGCTGTTTTACTATATGCCGTGTAGGCGCTTTGGGGGAGAGGTGGTATAGCTCCTACTCATTCTTGACCTCAGCACTAGATAGGGGTGAGTGGTCAGCATCATGCCCTGACTGTGCTTTACTCCTGGGAATGGACCCCTGTACCCATTAGATAGGCTGGGTGGGCCCCAGAACTGGTCTGGATGTAGAGGCTAGAGGAAAAATCCTCTGCCCCAGTCAGGGATCGAACCCCGGTCACCAAGTCCATAGCTAGTCACTATACTAACTGAGCTATGCCTACCTAATATAGCCAAGGTATTAAATCAAAAATGATGAAATGGGCAGGGGATGTAGCATATATAGCAATGAGAAATGTTTATAAACTTTGGTTGAAACCATGTTAGAGATCTCTTGGGCCACCTAGACATACATGGGATATTAATAATAGAACAAATTTTAAATAATTTTTTGAAGGTGGACTGAATTCACCTGGCTAAGAGTAGGCTGCAGTGTTGGACTTTGTATTTCTGGTGTTGAAGAGAACTTGCTGTGTTTCCATGATTGTCATCCTTCCCAATATTAGAATGTTTGCCTGATAGAGGTATTCCAAAACAGATTATTTTAGACATATTTGTAATTATATAGTTGAGGGGTGTTAAACCTTTTAGGATGGCAGGCCAATTTGAAAGATATGATACCTAAACCAACACAGAACTGAACAGTACAATAGAAATAGCCTAAACTTACCTTATTAATGTGAAATTTGGGCTAGTGTTTGCTCCACAGGAGAATTAATATTTGTTTCCATATTTGATATGCCAATTCACACATAAATCAGTAAGTGCACATTGGTGATTCATGAAGGGAAATTTGATTTGTTTTGTTTCTTACATGAAAAGCCTGTTCATATTGTGACGTTGGCGATGACTACCACTATTTGGGATCTATGTCAACTGTGATTTATTTAGAACAAATCAACTTACAGAATTTACACACACAGGCAAATTGGCCAAGATAGTTCCTAAGTCTCTGTCTCTACAAGTTCAGAACACACTCTCTGTGTTCACACGTACTGTCTGTTGAGCCATTCTGATCCCCAACCTTGGTGCCTTCCACACACACACACACACACACACACACACACACACAGCCCTTGGCTTGCAGCACCCCACTGTACATATGCTGGCCCCTCAGCCACTCTGGTCCACGAATCCAGTGCCCTTCCCATACGCACAACCCTCATCTCTCAGTCCCACACCAGACTGCTTGATGGCTCTGTGCTCTCATGTACTCTCCTGCTCACACTTCTGTTTCATTCTAGACCCACTCTAGCCCTGCCACTGTTCACTTCTGCTCCATGCTAGACCCTTGCTCTGTTGTTCCACTCTTGGCCCACTCGGGGAGGGGACTCTTATATCCATTGGGGCATTCGTGGAACATTCTGGGCCAAAACTCTCGAATGTTCCCTTTCCTGAAACTTCCTTTTGGCGAAGTTCTGGAACGTTCTACGATGGCCACACCCACAGCTGGTGTCCAGTAGCCAGGGAGGGGAGTAGGGCAGCCCCTCCCCTCCAGTGCGAGCCATCCGCTCCTTTGGCGCCATGCCACAATATGTATATGTGCTAAAATAGGTACTTGCCGAATGTTGTGCTAACTTACATAACTCAGAGAACTGAGATAGTGGTAATGAAGCATGAACGGTAGTTAAAGCTTCCTGGTTGAAACTGCTATGCAAAATTGAGTCATACTGCAGTTCCGTCAATTCAAATTGTAATTTTTCTGGAGAATCACTGGCTCAAATTTCAGAACAGTGTTGAACTGACGTGTTCTGGTAGAAATTTTAAAAATCAGTGTCAGCTTTAAGTAATACAATCCTTTTAGAGAATTGATTAGTGAATTTGCATTCCCCTAACTGGGTGGCACATGTAGAGCAATTAATATATTTGTCCGTTGTTATGAGCAGACATGCACTCCTTGGAGGTAACTGACCATTGTCTAACTAAAACATTGCAAGGTCTGAGCCACCTGTTTATAGTGACTTGTTGATATGCCAGTCTCACCAAATAATGAACTCTCTGCTGAACAAAATCAAATTGAAAGAAGCCACAACATTACAGTGGTTGGAGCATTTGCCTTGATTGGTCAAATGCTCGGAATGGCCCTAGTTATAATTTACTTAATGAGAAATTAAGGGGACCAAATGAAGATGCTTGTTTGTGGGTTGCTTGTTGACACCAATGGTATAGTTTTTCTGGCTTGATATTATACACATCTTGTTTGATAGTTACACTTTAAATTCAATTATTGATGTAAGATGTAAGGAAACAATGTGAATTATGCTTTGTTTATGCTCCTGTTGAACATGTCATTTCATAATTTGTTTCTAAAGATAAGTATGGCGAACATATTTCTTTGAAAAGGAATACTTGGAAATTTCCTTGTGTTATGAAAAATTATTTCCCCCCCAAAACATGTGTTGTTACATGCACATTTTCATGGCTACAGTTATGAACAAAAATCATCTAAATATATGTAAGGAACATTAGTTTTATAATGGAGGTAATGTGCTTATTTTGAGTATGTAGAAATTTAAAATGGGACTTGGTTATTTCAATCACTAAATTTTCAAATAACATCTAGATACTTAGTTTTGAACAAAACATAGAAAAGAAGAAGTCCAAAAATTGTAGATACACATGCCATCTTAAATCTGGACACTTCTAAGTTGTTGTTGTTGCATTTTTTCTTCTTATTCTATTCCCTTCTAATATTAAGTGCCTTTTTTGGTTATCTTGCTTGGGGTTATGTGAGGGGCTGGTAACAAAATACTCATGCTTGCTTATGAGTTGTTTATATTATTCATTAAAATAGTTTCTAGTTAGTTTCATTTGATAATATCTGTCCTAAGTCTTCTTCCTTTGTTCAGGTTTCGTGTCCTACGACAACCCTGTAAGTGCACAGGCAGCAATTCAAGCTATGAATGGGTTTCAGATTGGTACCAAGAGGCTCAAAGTACAGCTCAAGCGTTCCAAGGAGCTGTCTAGACCATACTAGCCTCCAGGTGAGTTTCAGTAGGCAGTCTACTGTGATTTGACTGCAGAACATCTTCACAGTTACAGTGTTCTTGCCACAGCCTTATTATTAAGTTGAATCCTACTGCATTTCTGTAAACATTAACTCCATTTATACAGATTAGGTTTTAATAGAACAATTGTGTAAATGAGCAGAGAGTTATGTTAATGACTGTTGACATGTATGCTTCATATTTTGGAAGTTTTTATTCAATCATGATTGAAGTTGACTTCAATCTGAGGACTTCAGGTGGTATTAAATTCTTACAGTCTATGTGCATGAACAGATTTAATTGGAATTTAAACTGATTCAAAGAGTTGCACGTTACAAAATACAGTCTATTTATTACGTTTTTAAAGCTAAAACTTTAAATAGGAATCCTATTACTAAGAATGAATGCATTTACCTGCACATGAAGTTTCATATTAGTAAGTCTTTATATACACCTACTTAACTTTTATTTTCATTACTTTTACCCATATTTTAATTGATTATTCTTCAAATTTAACCCCATACTGCATGTTTACTGTGGTAGAAAGTCTTGAAGTTGACTATATTTGGCTTAGAACTGCAATTGGTGTGTTTGTTTGGTCTGCAAAGCACAAGATGAATTATGGTCTTACTGGGAGAATTTTTGGGTGGTCTGAATACAGAAAATTTGATCAACAATGAGTAGTTTCAAATAAGAAAAGTAAAAATAGCCGAAAGCATACAGGACCATATTTGGAATAAACCCTTTCAGCGGTTGCACGTCACATGAATGAGAAAGCCGTCTCGAAAGATTATTTCAGTAGCTGGTATCGGAGACCAGAGCAATATATTTCATTTCGATCAGAGTCTTTGTTTCTATCATGGGAAGTAAATTTCATTCCGCTCCCTCTAATGCAGTGGAGTTCATTTGAGAATTTGAATCAGCTTGGAATGTGTGATGTGATTCAATAGGAAAAGATTATGAGCTATTCATACATAAATCTGTCAGTCTAAAAATAACTTCTTACTGCGTGTGTTGATGCAAGAACAGTTTGGTTGTGAAAAAGCTGGGAGATAAAGACTAACTAAACAGAACTGAAGAAATCCGACCTACCCAACCACTTCCAGGGATGTCTGAACAGGGTGGTCTCAGAGGCCAGACAAACAGAATGAACATAATCATACCTCAGAAAATATGGTTACAATGATTACAAGTTGATAACACCCCCACATGCATTTGCAGGGGTGTCCAAGTTGGGACACCCAACAGACAATCCAAACAAGGGTGTCCATCAGTTCACTCGTAACACACTGGCAAAAGAATGTGGTAACCCATGTAAACAAAGACTTTATTTCATACAGCTGTTTTTGGATGTTCCTACACTTTTCAAGCAATAACGGTGTTGCTGACAAAAAAGGTCCGAACTCTGACAGACTATGGAATTTGGCATCATGTGATGCCAAAATGGAACATAGAAATTTCCAACTAGGTCTCTTGTGCTTGATAGAAAATGATGGGATTTACCTTACTTCCATTGTCACATAGCTGTCATAGAGAGAAACATTCCTTGACTCGAGGTAAATGTCACCAAACATTGGCCTGTTCATTCCTCCAGAGTGAACTGTTGCACCATTTTGCACAAGGGATGCAGAAGAGTACAACTAAAATGCAGGGAGAGTTATGTAGGGCTCTGTATTGGTGTTTTAAAGTGTACTACAAAAATTCAAAATGTGATGTATTGAGAAGTACTGGTAGCTTTCAAAGCCACAAAAATTTCCTGAAACAGGTATGTGAAAGACAGTTTAATGTGTTTTGCAGTGTGTTCTGCTGAGTGAAACACGTCAGTAACGTAATGCACGAAGCTCAGCATATAGGTCACATATAAGATAAAGGTTAATTTTCCTACATAAATGAAAAAATGATAATGAATGGATAGTTGTTTTGTAATTAAGGCATGTAAAGTATTCTTCATAATACAAGGCCTATATTGACATAGTGGGGAATTGAATTTTTATGAAGGTTTCTAAATTACATATTTTTTTGAAAATGTTTAAAAATTATGTTCATTGGCAGAACCATACAGCACTAGCATGAGTCATGTAGTTAACAGTAGGCAACCCTTAAGTTGGAATAGGTAACTTTCAGTTCTTCCTAATTATTCTGACATCTATCTTTGTCAGAAGAAATTACAACAGAAGTGAGGAATGTAAGACAACATAAAAATGAAAATTAGTAAAGAAACTCGATACAAGATTTTCTGTCTTCGAAACTGTAACATGTAACCTGAATCACACATGAACAACAGCCTCAGTTAATAGAACGTGTTAAAAGACAGTTCATGTTCACAGAAGTACAGTAATGTATGAACAGTATAATGTGTTATCCTTTTCAGTCACCGTGTTATATCTCAGCCCTGGCAGAGGGAAATGGTAATTTCCCTCAACACAAAGTAAAATACTTTTATTGGACACATGAAGACAAGATTTAACTTTACTGGACAGACTGTAATAGACAGACAGTGGTCCTGAACCTCTTGGTATATGAAATGCACATCATGAATTGAGAAACAAGTTCTGTATTGTAGTTTGTGTATACAGTTCATTTTCCCAAGGTAAAGAAATGTGGTTTCTTATTGCTCTCATGTGGTAGTAAGGTTTTAAGAATGTTTACAACATAAGAGAATGGAAGTAACGACATACTTTATATATAAAGTATAAGATGCAAAAATTTATTAGATGTTAAAGTTTATTATTGAAGGTACTTGTGTACTTTAAAAAATGGTAATCAGCGTATTTATCCAGTTTTATTTTAAGATTTTATTTTGTGATATTACTGTCCAATTACTTTGTCACAAAAGACATACACAAATCAGAAAAGAAAGTCAAATTCAGGAGGTGGAAACAATAATCTATCCTACTATCATATGACTAACTTATGAATGTAATAAATATGTAAGTGCATGTATATGTTACAGTAAAAGCCCGAATGTTGGTGTTGTTTTACCACACAGTGTTTTTAAAAGTCTGTTAGGATTTACCATAAGTAGATAGTCAAAAGGTTAGGTTAGGTTAGCAAAAAAGTGCTTGTGCAAATCCTCTGGTATGTTATGCAATTCTAAATGTCATAATAGCTCACCTTGTTGCAAAAAGTAAGTCTTGAAACAGCAGTGAAAAAAATGTACTTTGATGATTGAAATGTCTCATAATTTTTTATTTATGTATTATGGTTATTTAATTCATATTTGTGCCTGATAAATCATTGGTGTGAATTTGTATAATATGACGTGGAGGATAGTGCATGTACCATTGTACAGTAATACCCCGGTTAACGCTTTCCCGTTTAGCACTGTTTTGTTATAGCGCTCATTGGCAACTCCCATGAGCTGCTGCCCTTTCAACATCATTGCTAACGCTTCAAACCTGCATTCCTCAAGAAGTGGTTTACCTTCCACCCAACACCACTTCATTGATACAACCAATGGATCAGTGGAGGGTGTGAATGAGGATGATGTTGAGGAATTGCTGCAGTCTTATGGCGAGACCCTTAGCAATGAGACCTTAAAAAACTAGCAGAGCAACACGTTCAGAATTAACTTAAAGACTCTGATCCAGTAAGACATCTTACAACAGAATTCCTCAGCAACAGCAGCAATCATGATCACTAAAATTATGGACCAGTTTATAGAACACGACCCTGATTATGAGCGGAGCTCCAAAGTAAGGCGATGTGTTCCTGAAATGATATCTTGCTATCAAGAAATATTTCATGAGAGAAAACTGAAGAAATGACAATCAACTCTTGACTCTTATATCACCAAGAAGCGGAGGCTTGAAGATCCACAGGTCGACTGCTCATCTAAAACATAATTAATGTTTCATTATTGTTCTAATTGTATTTGTATTTTCACCCACCTAATGTATACAAATGCTATAATGACCCTGGTTAGTGCTGTTTCGGTTAGCGCTCCACTTTCTAGGAACGTATCCTGAGCGGTAACCAGGGTATTATGTATGTACATGCAGTTACACGGATGTACTACAAATACTGGATAGTGAATTTATCCAGTAAGGATTACATATTTATTCTTTGCTCAGTATTTTGTGAAAAAAGATTGACTTTCATTTTTATAACAGTCAGTCTGATGGAGGGAAAGTTTTATTTTGAGTTTGACAAGCACATCAGTTGCTTATTAGAAAGTCTTGTGGGGGAAATAGTTTACACAGATAGTTTTATACACAATCCTGCATAAAATCTGCAACAAATATGGTGCTGTTTGTAAGATCTAGTCTGACCTAATGTGAAATTCAGAATTTTTTACCTTTTTAGTTTATTACTTCACCAGTGTGTGTACTTCGGCTTTATCTTATGGAAAGTTGGGATTTAAACACTGTATTACAGAGGCGCCAGTGATGCTTTAACTCTGGGGATTAACAGCTTAGCAATATGTTTGCGTGAAGTGCAGCCAGTTGGACTGCATGTAAGTTGAGATGCATCATAGTCAAGGTTAACAACCAGAATTAGTATGTTCACTGTTAAAAGTTCAAGATTATTAAATTTTTTCTTCTTCATGTCATTGTATTCAGATTCCAGTGTTGTGTCAGGAATGAGGATTCTGAAATAACAGGAAATTTAGACTTAACACAGCATTATATGAGCTTGGATAGTTAAGTTAGAGACTAGCTATGTGCTGCATAACTGAAATTAATTTCCTGGCAGATGTAGTTCTCTCTCTGACACAACATCCAGATCAGTTCTGAAGCTTACCTAGCCTCCTATTTGTAGGATAGTAGGCAAAGGGGGGAGTGGCTTTTACAGGAGTCTTTCTTTATACTCTTGCCTTTGTTAGGTGTTAGGTGGTCAGACAGTAAACGTTTATTCAAAATTTGACAAGTCGTTCATTAGATACACATGTCTCTCTTATTGTCTTACACTTAATTCTACTCTCCAACCATGAAGGCCAAGAATTAACTTACTTTCCTGACTCACTCTGCATAATTATTTTGATGTTAACTCCTGGT